GGGGCGGTCTGTCTGACCTTATAGATAATACACATACATTATCCCAAGACGGGCAGAACAGTAAAAAAAAAACCAAAAATTAAAAAAAAAACAACATTTCAATGCTAGCTCTTTTTTAAAGTGGATTTTTTTCGACTTTAAATATAGCTGCAAATATAATAGATATTTTTTCACAGCTTGCCATAATTTATATTTTCATTCACTTTCCATTCTCAAGAAGCAGTGCAATCTTCCGAAGGGTTGCCATGGTGAAATGCTAAAGTCATTGCTGCTCAAGGTGCTGTGATGATCAATTTCCTCTTTACTCGAAAAAATCAAATTTTTTTAAATAAAATCGAAAGTAATTATTCATTAAGATAATTACAACTGCTTGAGATTTGAGGTAAGGTGACTGTGCCATATTTCACACGGATGGGAGCAAATCAGAGAAAATGGAGATCAGTGTCAAAGAAGCAGCTTGTCCATACTGATTTGTAAAGGGGAACTCTGCTTGTTGAATCGAAAATATTTTTTTTCAATCGCTTACAGGATGCAGTCAGTCTGCAAAGTCATTTATTTTTCTCTGCAATCAGTCTCCGGATTTGCTGAGCCCTGGTTATGGAGAGTGTGACAACATTGTCCAGGCTAACTAATAGGGCCCATTCACACCAGATGCAGTTGGACGCATTTTTGACCTTAGTACATTTCATATAGTTCATATAGTGAACTCGGTATCAGGGGCGGACTGACCATTTGGAAACTCGGGCACTGCCCGAGGGCCCGGGGTCAGTAGGGGGCCCCATGAGATGCCCCTGGTACCTTTTTCATAGGCTTTTTTGAGTTTGGGCAAGGACACAGGGGCCCATGATCCCCTATTGCCCGGGGGCCCCATGAGTTGTCAGTCCGCCCCTGCTCGGTGTGGAGTCATTCACCCTGAGGTCAGCACAGAGGACAAGTTGGCACTCTTTACGTTGGAGGAAAAGAGATTTAATCTCCAGATACGGAAAAGTTATTTCACAATGAGAGCTGTGAGAATGTGGAATAGACCCCCTCAAGAGTTGGTTCTGGTCAGCTCAGTGGATTTCTTTAAAAAAAGTCCTGGATTCTTTCTTAGATACACAGAATATAACTGGATACTAACATTTATAGGTAAAGTTGATCCAGGGAATATCCAATCGCCTCTCGGGGGATCAGGAAGGAATTTTTTTCCCCTGCAGGAGAAAATTGGATCATGCTTTGCTGGGTTTTTTTTGCCTTCCTCTGGATCAACTGTGGGTGTAGAATTAAACTTTTTTTTTTCTATGGTTGAATTGGATGGACGTTTGTCTTTTTTCAGCCAGACTAACTATGTAATAACTGCATAGACCACAGGTGTCAAACTAGTGGCCCTCCAGCTGTTGCCAAACTAAATGTCCTATCATGCCTCCACCTTTGGAAGTCATGCTTGTAGCTGTCCATCTTGCAATGCCTCATGGAACTTGTAGTTTGGCAACAGCTGGAGGGCCACCAGTTTGACACCTGTGGCATAGACAGTCCAAAATCCAGGTTATCCTATGGGCATATTTCACACCATTTACAGTGCAGTGCACAAAGTACAACATGTCCCATTTTTCACACTGCAAACCCACAAAAATGTGCGCAATTGCATGTAATTTCGCGTAAATTCGCCACAACGTATTGCAGAGCATGTAAAAGGTCAAAGAAAGAAAGTGACCTCACAGGACAAATGCGGATAGAAAATAGTGTGTCAACTGCATGTAAGCATAAACATTTGCACAAATGCATGCAAAAGTGCATGAAAAACGTGCAGTAGACTTGCAGTTTCTGGTGTGAATGAGCCCTTATTCTCTGTGTCTCAACCTGCCTCGTCATGAAACATGCCTGGAGTAGCCGCTTACTCCCAGAGCATGAAATATGTCATTGTCTCATACTGTATGTAAATAAAGGTATACATGTGTGTGATTTGGGGGCGATCACTATAAAGCCTATCTATCTATCTATCTATCTATCTATCTATCTATCTATCTATCTATCTATCTATCTATCTATCTATCTATCTATCTATCTATCTATCTATCTATCTATCTATCTATCTATCTATCTATCCATATCTACCCAGGGGCAGACTGACCATTTGAAAACTCAGGCACTGCCCGAGGGCCTGGGGTCAGTAGGGGGCCCCATGAGATGCCCCTGGTACATTTTTCATAGGCTTTTTTGAGTTTGGGCAAGGACACAGGGGCCCCATGATCCCCTATTGCCCGGGGCTCCATGAGTTGTCAGTCCGCCCCTGTATCTATCTATCTATCTATCTATCTATCTATCTATCTATCTATCTATCTCTAAGTATCTATCTATCTATCTATCTATCTATCTATCTATCTATCTATCTATCTACCTATCTGTCTCACCCTCCTAGTTAGTGTGCTAGGCAAATTTAGTGGTCTAGCAGTGGTTGATTACTCTGGTCTGCTCAATGTTTCACAGGCTGCTGATAAGACAGAGGGGTAGCTTGAATATTTATGGTGACCCAGCCAATCCCTGGAGAAGTGTGACCAGTAGGTGGCTGGAGAGTCCATAAATGGTCTGAGGCCTGGAGGAGAGAGATAGGGTGTCCTGGGTCCAGTCCTGTAAGGGAGTCCCTAGGGGCTGTCTCCAGCAGGGGCAGTCTGTCGAAGACATTGCTTGAAGGTCATTGACATCAAATCGCACATGTCTAGTGATCACTATGAAATCTATCTATCCTCTGCCTATCTATTTATCTAAATATCTTGAAAGCAAGGGGGCAGAGCAAGAATAAGTCAAAGTCATATCTGTAATCTCTTCCTTTTGCTTCTCTGGTAGTATCATGTTTCATACACTGGTAGGCAGTAGTTACTAAGGCAGTAGTTTAGAAAACATACAGTACATAAGAAAATTAGAGTTCAAGGAACCCTAACAGGTAGATTTGAGATACCTACAGAGGTCAGATAATGGCAGTTTTTTAGTTGAAGAGTTTAAACCTTTCACATTATAGGTCATAATATTAATCAAGCTCATATCTTTTTCTACTTCTCTTCTCCACCACTCCTCCATTTACCTGTAGACCTGCAAAGAATATTCATGTCCTGGACAGCTACCCAATCCCATCTCCTCCCATCCCTCCTGTACCACCTCCCCTACCACCCCCCTCCCCCTCCCATCTTACCCCTAAAAAACTCCCTGGCCTATACACTGTCCTGGAATCTGACACAGGTTTACCCCACTAACGATTCCTAATTTAGTGTATGACTCTGAACATGCAGCCTGATCCCCTTTTCCCGACATAGGGGATTTTAATATCTTATCCTACTAGGCCTCCAGACGTCCAGTCCTGTCTAAAATCTTTTACTCTGGTCCCCTGATGGAAACCCTATAAGGAGACAGCGGAGAGGGCTGGCACCAGGAGGAAAGGGAGGGATGAGAAAAAAAAAGAAAAAAAAAGGGGGGGCATATTTATTTAGTGGGTACAAGGGAGCAAGTCCCCATTTTTCACATATCAGCCCTTATGAATTTGATTTCCCCCTCCTCGTCCCTTTCCTCCCCCCCCCCCCCCTTCCCTAGTCCCCTTTCTCATTATCTTCTCCTATTATTTACTTGCTGCCAATTTTCATTTCTTAATTCCGGTCTCTCATTAGACCCTTCCGACCATCCCACAATTTCCACACCCTGCAGTTCTAGTTTTTCACAAAAGTTTCTTAAATCTTCTGGGAATCTTAGCCTGGACGATTTCCCATCTTTCCACCCAATCAGGCATACTGGGAACCTCCAATTTTACCAAACTTTTTTCTCCCCTCATCTGATCCAATAGCGGTTTCAATGTTCTTTTTCTGGACAGAGTCTCGGTGGCTACATCCGCAGAGACTTGCACCTTTGCATCCCCAAATTTTATTTCAGGTCTCTCTGGCAATTTTTTCCATATTTTCCCTCTGTCCTCATGATAATGAAAACGGACAATCACATCTCTTGGGAATTCTGATGTAATTCCTATTGGATGACTAATTCTATGTACTCTCTCTATTTTCAGCAGATCTGTATCTGATTTTCCAGTCAATGGATTGAACACACTCTTTATTTTTTCTCTCAAGTCCTCTTCCCCTGGGACTTCGGGTAGGCCCCGTATCCTCAGATTATCTCTTCTCTCTCTATTCTATTTTTTATTTCTCTATTTACTGCAGCACTTTATTTTCCTTACACAATGAAGTGTTTTCTGGGAGTTACAATTTTTTCAACTTCAGGATGACTTACAAATTTTGGTTCTTCTACTTGTCATGTGAGAACATTAAGGCAACATACAAAAAAATTTACATAAATTAACTCGGATGCATAAATTTACAGGTGTAACTGCAATAAGTTGTAACTTCTTCAGACCCATGTTCAATGCTCGGAATACAAACTGGGCTAAGAGAAAACAAAAACCTGGATCTAAGGCCTGGATGCCGATTTTTCCAACCATACTAGAAAAAAGTGGCAAAAAAACAGAAATGATGATTCCTTCATGAACTCCTACCAGCCTCAGACATGAAATTCTGGAAGATTAAGAGCTAAAATTGGTTATCTGGAAGCCTAAACCTCAGATACCCCGTACACATCTCCCACCTCGACCTCCCCAGGACCCCCCAGAGAAGTGTCATTCACAATACTGTCGCAGATTGGCAGCCTTTCACAGAAATGCATTCTTAGACGTTTAGCTTAAAGGAGACACCCAAGACGGAATGCAAAGCGGAGTTTATATCCGAGGTGTGTACAGGGTATATGCTAGCACTGACACCACAGGAATAGTGGGAGAGACAGTTCCAAGTCTTGCATTACAAAAAGAAAAATCCCCATCGACAGGCAACTTCAGAGTGTCTCACATTCCAAGGGCAAGTTCATTTGGAAGTTGGCTCTATTCCAGTTTCACAAGGCTAGCATGAGGCGTACACATTCGCCGAAGCAAATATTTTTTTTTAACACTTTGAACAACTCATGCAGCAAATGCAATGCATCTGCTAGCAGTCCATTTAAAAGCATTTGTGGTGGACGATGGATGGGCCAGATTCATCGTATTCCTGCTTGCTGATCCACATCTGTTGGAAGGTGGAGAGGGAGGTCAAGATGGAGCCACTGATCCAGACGGAGTACTTGCGCTCGGGTGGTGCAATGATCTTGATTTTCATTGTGCCAGGGGCCAGGGCAGTGATTTCCTTCTGCATTCTGTCAGCAATGCCAGGGTACATGGTGCTACCTCCAGACAGCACAGTGTTGGCATACAGGTCCTTACGGATACCTACGTCGCACTTCATGATTGAGTTGAATGTGGTTTCGTGAATGCCGCATGATTCCATACTCAGGAAGGATGGCTGGAAGAGGGCCTCTGGACACCTGAACCTCCCGTTTCTGATGGTGATGACCTGACCGTCGGGAAGCTCATAGATCTTCCCCAGGGAAGTCCAGGGCCACGTAGCACAACTTCTCCTTGATGTCACGCACGATTTCTGTTTCGGCTGTGGTGGTGAAGCTGTAGCCTCTCTCGGTGAGGATCTTCATGAAGTAGTCTATCAGGTCATGGCCAGACTCTCTATGAGCAGGACTGGGTGTTCTTCAAGGGCAACACGTAGCTCGTTGTAGAAGGTGTGGTGCCAGATCTTCTCCATATTGTTCCAGTTGATTACAATGCCATGTCCTTCTGTCCCATGCCAACCATGACACCCTGATGTTTTGGGCGACCAAAGATTAAGGAGAAGACAGCGTGGGGAGCATCATTTCCAGCAAAGCTGGCTTTGCACATACCAGAGCCATTATCAATGAGTGCGGCAATTTCATCTTCTATTTTTCTGGTTGGTTTCAGGGTTTTCCTGAAGCGGGAGAAGCTGGTGAATGAGCTGCTGTCAGGTCCGCTGCCACCGGCTGAATGAGAACTCTCTCTATTCTTTTGATCCTCTAATTTATATAATAGTTTCTTCTGTTCCCTTTTCATCTCTTTTACCTGCAGTTCCAATTTGCTAATCTGCTGGGCCTGAGTTTCCATTTTCCCTTCTAGTTCTTCCACTCTTGCTAACATTTGTTCCAGATCGTTGTGAATCACCGCCATTTAATTTTTCATGCAAAGTTCCAGTTTTGCGAACATTTCCACCATCTCAGTTTTTGTGGGAATTTGAGATATAGCTCCCTGTTGATCCACCATATTTTGCTCTATTAAATTGTCAGTATTTATGGATTCATTAGTCGAGTTTCCATCCTGCATCCTGAATGACAGTCTAGTTATGCTCCGCCTCATACAATCTCCTTCCTTCCTGTTGTTTCTCAGAGCCTTGTTTCTCTGGACTTTTTTCCTGTATTGGCATGTATTTCTTAACCACTAGCCTACAGGGCACTTATACCCCCTTCCTGCCCAGGCCAATTTCCAGCTTTCAGCGCTGTCACACTTTGAATGACAATTGCGCGGTCATGCAACCCATATGAAATTTTTATCATTTTTTTGAGACAGATAGAGCTTTCTTTTGGTGGTATTTAATCACCTCGGGGATTTTTGTTTTTTCTTAAACAAACCAAAAACCACTGAAAATTTTGAAAAAAAATGTTTTTTCTTAGTTTTGTTATACAATTTTGTAAATAAGTGATTTTTCTCCTTCACTGATGTGCGCTAATGAGGCTGCACTGATGGACACTGATAGGCTGCACTGATGGGCACTGATAGGTGGCACTGATGGGCACTGATGGGGAGGCACTGGTAGGTTGCACTGATGGGCATTGAAAGGCAGCACTGATACATGACACTGATACATGACACTGATATATGGCACTGATAGGCGGCACTGATAGGCAGCACTGACTGGCACTGATAGGCGGCACTGACTGGCACTGTTAGGCAGCACGGACTGGCACTGTTAGGCGGCACTGACTGGCACTGATAGGCGGCACTGACTGGCACTAATAGGCGGCACTGACTGGCACTGATAGGTGGCACTGATTGGCAGCACTGATAGGTGGCAGTGATTGGCATTGATAGGTGGCACTGAATGGCACTGATGGGTGACATTGAAAGGCAGCTCAGATGGGCACTGATATGTGGCATTGATGTGAACTGGTATGCACTGATATGTGGCATTGATGTGGCACTGATGGGCACTGGCACGTGGCACTGATGGGCACTGGCACTGATGAGCACTGACAGGTGGCACTTCTGGGGCCACACTAATCATCAGGGCACACTGATCATCAGTGCCCTGATGATCAGTGTACATGTCCCCTCCGCGGAAAGCCGACTACCGGCTCTCCTCTCCTCTCCTCTCAAGCTGTCAGCGTGACAGGTCGAGAGGAGAGAAATGCCGATAACTGGTATTTCCGTGTTTACATCTGATCAGCTGTGATTGGACACAGCTGATCACATGACCGAGCCGACATCTTCGGCTCTTTTCGTGATCCACTGTGTCCGGGGGACACAGCGGACTGGCGATCACCGCGCTGCGCGCTCCCTGAGCCGCGCATGCGCAGTGAGAATGGTAGGACGTTATATGACGTCCTATCAGAACGAGAGAACCACCTTGCGCCCGTCATTGTACTATAGGGCGGGCGGAAGGTGGTTAATTGTACTCATGTTCGGGTTCAGCTGCGGGGTCTTTACCCCTCCTCCCTTGGCGGATCTACTCCTCATATTAATTGAGCTAATTATTATTTGTCCGTTTACTGCTCACAAGTGATATTATCGAATCTATGGAAGCCCCGTACACAGTCCCGGGTAACTTTAGGAGAGTATATGATGTTAGTACTTTCACTTAACCTCTGAGACCACCCACACCTTAATCTTCTGACCGTCCGGTCCCACCTCACACATCACATTATACGTATAGCAGGCACAGAACAATATTAATGAAAAACATCTTGCTGTTATCCATAGCAACTCCCCAACACCATCCGCACCTGGATCACTGGTTCCATATTCTGTACGTAACCTCCTGTCTCTTTCGTAGATAATTGGCCCTTGGCCTTGCATAGAGAGTCACCTTTTGGGGGGACCATGGCGGGAATCTGGTTAAGATGGTGAGAGTTCCAAAAATCCTGTAAAAGTTTCAAATGCTCCCAATATATTTACCAGGATGTTTTTTTAGATTAATAAGAAAAATGATATTGAGGTTTATTTGGGCTAATAAGAAATCAATTAGTTATGAGACTCTATGCAACAACAAAGAGAAAGGAGGAATAAATTTGCCAAATATGAGGAAGTATTATATGTCGGTGTTATTATCATGGTTGGTAGATTGGACATATAACTCAGATGCAAAAAGCTGGGTTAAAATGGAAGGTATATTAAGCAATGTGCAGTTAGAAAGGATTATTTGGATTCCACGAAAGTTTCGAGAATTAGATGAAAATACTAGTGTACTTACTAGAGAGGTGTTGAGAATATGGGATGGGTTGCAGAAGTAAATGGGTTGGGAGCAGGGGCGGGACTGACCATTTGGAAACTTGGGCGCTGCCCGAGGGCCTGGGGTCAGTAGGGGGCCCTATGAGATTCCCCTGGTACCTTTTTCATAGGCTTTTTTGAGTTTGGGCAAGGACACAGGGGCCCCATGATCCCCTATTGCCCAGGGGCCCCAGGGAGTTGTCAGTACGCCCCTGGTTGGGAGTATAATTCACTGTTGAAAGCCCTGGTGGACACGGCCTTGTTTCCACCAGGGAATGATAATATTTCTGGGAAATGGTTTAGAAATAGAAATGCACGAATAAGTGATATAGTAGATAAGGGGAAGCTATGTAAATTTCAGGAATTAAGGAGTAAAAAAGATTTCTTTTATACACTAGATGAATTCAGATATTATCAATTAGGACACTTTGTCTCAACACTCCCCCAACCACTAAGGATGCCGGAGGATATGCTTCCATTTGAAAAAATGTTGAGTCATGGGACAGGTCACAAACATGTAACGTCCAGAATATATAAGATTCTCATTGAATGGATGAGGTTGGAACCTCCGTTATTCTTAGAGAGATGGGAAAGAGAATTGGATACAAAAATGAGCATGAGCAACAGAAGTATAAAAATGTTTAAGTTGATGAATGGTGTGGTAAATATGAACACAGTAGAATTGAACTATAAATGTTTAACTAGATGGTATTGTACACCGAGTGTGGCTCACCTGGGGTGTCCCGAGGGTTGGTGTCACTTGGTGACACCCCCCTCCGACGATCCCCGCAGAATGGATCGGATCTGCGGATTGGGGAGCATAATAGATCGGACTCCGATCCAATATGCTCAATCCGCAGATCTGATCCATCCTGCGGGGATTGTCGGCTTGCTTTACAACTTACCTTTTCGTGGAGCGGGTCCGGTGTCACCCTGTATAGTTTGCATGCTTACGATCCCCACAGGATGGATAGGATCTGCAGATTGAGCATAATGGATCAGAGTCTGATCCATTATGCTCCCCAATCTCCCGGATCTGCAGATTGGGGAGCATAATGGATCGGACTCCGATCCATTATGTTCAATCCGCAGATCCGATCCATCCTGCGGGGATTGTCGGCTTGCTTTACAACTTACCTTTTTGTGGAGCGGGTCCATTGTTACCCTGTATAGGTTGCATGCTGACGATCCCCGCAGGATGGCTTGGATCTGTGGATTGGGGAGCATAATGGATCAGACTCTGATCCATTATGCTCCCCAATCTGCAGATCCGATCCATCTTGTGGGGATCGTCAGCTTGCTTTACAACTTACCTTTTGTGGAGCAGGTTCGGTGTCACCCTGTGCGGTAGGTGTCACCCAGTGCGGAGCGCACCCCCCGCACCTGCCTAGGGACGTCACTGGTCACCACTATGTTGGAGGGGTTGTGGGGAAAGAGGTACTATGACTCATATTTGGTGGGAGTGCTCAAAAATTCAGGGGCAGGGGCGGACTGACCATTTGGAAACTCGGGCACTGCCCGAGGGCCCGAGGTTAGTAGGGGGCCCCATGAGATGCCCCTGGTACCTTTTTCATAGGCTTTTTTGAGTTTGGGCAAGGACACAGGGGCCCCATAATCCCCTATTGCCCAGGGGCCCCATGAGTTGTCAGTACGCCCCTGTTCAGAGGTATTGGCAAGAGGTAATCCAATATATACAGGAGATTTTGGGAAAAACTATTCAAAAAGATCCTTGGGTATGCCTATTTTATAGAACAGAGGTATCAGTAAAACAATATAAAAACAGTCTGTTATACCATCTAATCAGTGCTGCAAAAGGTTTAATCCCCAAATTTTGGAAGGCACGGGTCCCCCCAACAATGAGAGATTGGATGGAGAGGATTGAGTATATAAATAAGATGGATGAGTTATACCATATAGATGAAGATAAAATGGAAAAACATAGAAAAGAATGGAGCAGGTGATACGTTTATAAAACGTCTGAAAAATATCTTGAAATAATGGGGGCCCCGGTTGTACAGTTGAAAAACTGAAACTGAACAATTGGAAAGTTACAATATGAAGAGCGAATATAGGGCTTTGATTGTGATTAGTAGACAGGTTAAGATAGAAATGGAAAGATCTAACTGGACAGGGGTAAATATTGGGAGGGATAAGGGGGGTTGGAACGAGGGTTAATGACGTTTAGTTGGATTGTGCATATTTTGCTAAATTGCATATTGTTGTTTTGTATGTATTGAAATAAAATCTAAT